GGAGAGAAGGAATGGCAGGGAGATTGTGGTATAGCAGAATGGGGAGCAGGGACATAGTGGGTGAGCTGGAAAAAATTAAGGACGGCCAGGGAGGGGCAGGGAAAGGCGGGCATGGCAGAATGGGGAGCAGGGAGAGAGGGGGTGTGCTGGAATATTTATGAACGGTCAGGGATAGGTGCAAAGTAGAATGGGGAGGCACTCACTTGCACGTCGTTCCAAAAATTGCCGGTTTCGGGGGCGTCATACACCCTCACGCCCCTCACTCTCTTTCTATGCGCACGTGTAACAAGCGGATGGCTAAGTCTTGGTTCACTCAACAAATCTTGTAGGGCCTGCAAATGTTTAGCCATGTGGGAATGAGGGATTAGTGGGGCGCTGAAAAAAACATGAGCAAACACTCCAACATACCTTCAAGGTGTCACAGTACCAAAAGTTCAAGAATGCCTTTGTTCCAACGCGAGTGACCCCCTTCTTCCACGAACGGTCACAGTCAGCCACTCTCGATTGCACATGTCGGTACACATCTCGCGAAGATCTCCATTCCGCAACGTCATCCCACGATGCGCCTTCATGGCTAAGAATCTTAAATAATTTAGCTACCGAACGTTGAGATACACGCTCTTGGAGAATCCAGCGTGCCAATTCATCCTTGAAGGAGAATGGAGCTGCGGGGCGCGGATTAGATCCGTTGGGAATATGAGAAACTTCGTCGATCCCACTCGAGTCACTCATGCGTGCCATGAATGCCTCGGGATCATCGGCGGCACGAGCGGCTGCCGCATCTACACCGTCCTCATCGGCTGGCTCATCAAACGTAGGTGGTACGAATACGTTTTCACTGCTGGAAGGACTCCACAAGCGCCGACGTTGAGCGGGAGGTTGGATTGGTGGGGAATCTGACGCCTCTGCGCCTCTGGATGCAGCAGCTATTCTGCAAGCCGCACTACCTCTATGCGATTCTAGAGCAGAATACACGTAGAAAGGCCCCGAACTACAGTCTGGGCATTCCATAGTGGCGGATGCAGGACTAATTTCTGTGTATTGAAGGCAAAAAGAAAAACAAAGCATGAGTGATTTGCATCAATATTATACTCCCCTGGTTGAGATGATGTGAAGCGTGTGAACACTTTAGTTGTCGTGAGATGTAGTGCTGAGATTCAGATTCAAGTCGAAGGGGTGTGCATTAGGGCGCGTCATTCTAGTATCATTCTCAATCGATACCCATCTCAACCGAATTGTTTGTTTATTAAAGCGTTTACAATTGTGCAGCGTCGTATTGCACTGCATTCCCCCGAAGAAAAAGGACGGGCACTTACGAGCCGCGCATTTCACTCACACATGTCAAATCGCATCGTGAATTTTACACTTCGCGATTTTTGAACTTCGAGTGACGTTGCGACATTCCCGTTAGCCAATACGGTCGTTCAAAATATTGGCCAGCGAAAAAGTGCTGTTTGGAGAACCGAATTGGATGCGACCAATAGGAAGAAACCACGCACTCCCAAAAAATATCACAGTGCGTTTTGACTTCGTATGACCAAGGCGTCACGAGATTTCAAGAACCGTGACATACACCTGCTTGCGACACAAAATCTTCCCGCACGAAGATGCCACGTTTTCTGCTTGCAAACACGGGGGTTTCGCCCAATAAATTTTACAGTCAATGACTAGTTCCGATTACAACGACAACATCACGCCAAATCAAAATCGATCTCAACCGCACGAAAAAAAGTTGGAGTTTGGGCCGTTGATGTGAAATGTAACGGAGCGCGACACGATATCCTACGCTGCCACGGCTGATTCCCTGCCAAACACAAGTGAAAAACAGCCATAACACAACCAAAAACGAGCATTTGCCACATCAGCCTGTGGATAGAAATTAACACCCCCTCCCCAAAGCCTGTGATAATCGAAATATTGCCACCACCGTTAACAGATGGTTCGGCATTTTTGAGATGTGCAGCTATACTGGCTCGAATTTCAGCTTGCAAGCTCTCTCGAAGTTCAGAAACGATTTGGGCTCGGTAGTTCTGCAAAAAATTAGCCCAATCCTCAGAGGACGGAGGTCCTAAGTCAGACGTCATGACGTAGTCCTAGCAGGTCGTAATCTAGCTCGGATACCAAATGGAACAGCTCTAAGCTGTTAGTAGTTCTAAATGCTAAGTTTCAAGAGTCTAAATTAGCAAGGCAGATTTGGTAGCATGAATTCTGTAAATTTCAGAAAGCAAGAATGGCATACAAGGGACGAAAGACTACTGTTATACACATTCCTATGACTATGGCGCCTTGAGAAGTTCGTTCAGGCCGCCATATCACCTTTCTCTGCTGTCTCCAGCTAGGAACAGAATATGTACAAGCAATGATAGCAATCCTATGCTGGATCCTAGCTGTTTATATAGAAATATGCAAAGTACAATCCTGAGATGGTTCTAGAAGAGCACTAGCTGACTTGGTCTTCTACTTCATGATGATGGTACTTGGGTCTTGTGGTGCTGGAACGTATTTACAGCTGTATGGCATGGCTAGTTGCTCTGCTGTCGTAAAGATGCTCAGATACTCTCTTCTCTGCTGCTTTGCTGGTTGGGAATTCACGTGTGCTTTGAGAAATCCCGAAGCGCACATTTCAGGTTGGGATTTCCAACCTCGAATTTGACATTTCAGATTGGGTTTTGGCGAAAGTTACAAGTTCGCTAGTGAGCGAACTTTCCTGTGACGAGTTCGCCTTCGCCCTGTAACACCAAGCAATGTGTGAGGTTCAGAAATGTCCAGATCAACTGTGGAGGTTCAATGTGTGCGATTTGCCAACTAAGAGTTGAAAATGTGCGACGGGATTCAAACGCGTGAGTCAGCGCGAATTGAAGGCAAATCACACGAAGGAATGGAAAAACGCGTCAGTGAGCGCAAAAGAGTAGGTGCATTGACCTTCCCGCACACTGGCAAGTGCAGTACAGGATACAGCTCTAGAAACATTTGTTATGCTAATTATCGTCAGATCCTTTCTTCATATAATTGTAAGAAGTTCCTTGTGGGGTTGAATCTGCATTTGGAAATTTTGTTGAACACCTGAGACGCTCCAAAATGCAGCCATTAACAAGGAAGGCCTACTCTGTTATGTATCTGCCAACCGAGTGCCTCACTACCACATGTTTTCGTTGACCGGCTGCTTGCTTGTGACCCGCATATCACCTCGTATTGGTATGTTGATGAGAGGAACAGAAGCAGACATGCGAGCAATAATCCAACAGCTCAATCAGTCTTGCCACCCTGTTGGAGCAAAGTCTATGAACGGAAGGTGGGGAGGCAACAAGAACTACCGTAGTGCACGCACAGTTGAAGGCGGAGGGTGGAGGGGTTGTGGGGAAAGGATGAGGAGGGAGGCGAGAGAGAAGGGGGGATGAAGACGGGCGGAGAGGGGTGGGTGGCACAGGGCTCATGTGATATTCATCCTCTAGCTATGGAAGTTCTGATGAGAGCTCATGATATTTCTATCCCGTAGTAGTAATATGGAAAGCATGGTGAGATATTCAGGAAGAATGCTCAAGGGAAGGGGAAAGTGAATCAGTGAAGGAGGGGAATGGTGAGGGTTGGGGCCAATGGTATGTGATATGTATTAACACGTAACAGATGGCTGAATGATTGCCATCTGAGTCCACTCAAACACTTGCATCGCAGTGGCTCTGCGTATGCCCTTTGAGCCGACCCTACAACTTGATGACCTGCTGTACCCCTGCCTATGCGCATGGCCATGCCCATTCCCATGCCCATGCCTATGCCCATGCCTATGCCCATGGCCATGCCCATGCCCATGCCAATGCCCATGCCCACCCCTACTCCCATGCCACACCTATGCCCATGCCCATGCCCATGCCCATGTCCATGCGCCCATGCCCATGCCCATGCCCATGCCCACGCCCATAGGATGACCAAGATCTGAAGAGAGAGAAGGGAAGGCAAGGAGTTTCAACAAAAAGTTGTGAGGGAAGTTGTCAGGGATTGAAAGAAGAAGGTTTCAAGAAGTTTTTGAAGTGCTTTGCTGAAGGTTTGAAGCGGTTTTGAAGAGGTTAAGTGAAGGCTCGAAGAAGTCTGAATTCATCACATCAAACAACATCTATCTAAACACCCTGATTGACTCATAAATGCAAGAACGAGTCGTGAAGGGAAAGCATGTAAAACCAGCTGAGCAGGGTCACGAGTCGAGCAAAATCTAATATGTGAGGGAGTGGGTACATGAGGAAAGAGGCCAACTTTTGAGGCGCCTCAAAAATCTATATGGGAGGGAGTGGGTGGGTACATGAGGAAAGAGGCCATGTGTGTATGTCAGCGAGTAAGGCGTGCATACGAAAACGAGAATAAAAAAATCCGATTTGCTTTGAAAGCAGGTCAAGAGGAACTGATTTCACTATTTTCCTAGAAGTCACGTGCTTGCTGCCTCATCCTTAGTTCACCATTACACTGGTGTTCCCTAGCAGCAAGCCGCTCGTTCCTTCCTGCCATCCGTCTCTCACAGCAGCAACATTGTGCTCTGCCATAGCAGTAGCTGGAAGGTTTCAAGCAGGTTAGCAGAAAACCACAAGGAAGATAAAATGAAGGTTCGATGGAGGCAAAATACCAAGTGCCCTGCTCCACCTCCATTCAATGGGGGCTGAATTGTCTGTTTCACGCCAAGTGAAACAGCACCAACAATTTCACGAGCCGAATCGGCTCATGTGGGCATGCATCAAGAGTGAGGCATGCACACAGCAACGAGAGATGAAAATACGTTCTGCCGTAAGTCAACTCAGGAGCAATTGGTTGCTGTTACTACTTACAGGTGCATCACGTTTCTCTCACCGTTATACTGGTGCGCTGCCCTAGACATGAGCACAGGGCGAAACGAAAAGCTTCGAGCAGCAGGCAACTCTCTCACTCACAACCCCCACGTCTCCTGACACTTACACCTGTGCTCTGCCCCCTCCTCCTCCCCGTCGCCATGCCCCTCGCCATCCCCCTCACCCTCCCCCTCACCCTCCCCCTCCCCCTCCCCCTCCCCCTCCCCCTCCCCCTCCCCCTCCCCCTCCCCCTCCCCCTCCCCCTCCCCCTCCCCCTCCCCCTCCCCCTCCCCCTACCCCTCTCCCTTCCCCCCAACCCCTCCCCTCTCTTTCCCTTCTCCCTTCTCTCCCCGTGACACAAAGAATGGCCCGGTAACGAGTTGCACAGCGCTCTATGTGGACAAGAGGAAGCCGGCTTGTAAAGGTGACTGACGCGGACAGAGGGCTCAAACGCAGCACACCAGGTACGAGGGGGGGGGGGGGGGGGGGGGGGAGGGGGTGGGCAGCGGGAAGGGCAAAGGTGCAGGGGTAGGGGGAAGGGGGGGGGAAAGGGCAGGGGGAAGGGGGAAGGAACAAGGTGGGGGGCCGAGGGGAGGGGAAGGGGGGAGGAACATGGGAAAGGGGCAGGGGGGAGGGGAAGGGGAAGGGGAAGGTGGAGAGGCAAGGGAAGGGGCAGGGGGCGAGGTAGAGGGAAGGGACAGTAAATGCAAAGCAGAGCAATAGTACCTTCCTCAATTCTCGCCAACGGTTCTCTCCTAGCAGTAAACATCCATGGTAGTTTGTGACAACAGCGGAACTCAGATCTTTACAATATTGGCGTACCTAGCTCCATGATAGATTCCATGATACATAGTTTCATGATGTAAGCTCACCTAGCTCTACAATCAGCGGCGTAACGAGTGGCATGGCCATGCCAACTGCAAACAGGTCCAGGAACACGACGACCAATATCACCACGCCACGTGGCACGCCCTTCTCTGCGCCCACTGCTGGCGGCATCCCCTCCCTTATCCGCACAGTGCTTAAACCCCCCGTTACAACGTCCTGCCCCCCATACTCGTTATTGCCCGTCCCTTTATAGGCGTCTTTCTCCAAAAGGGCATCCATCTCTCGGCCCATCGAGTCACCGTTGTACATCCGCGATACTGTTCCGTCGACGCTACATACGTCGCCTCCTTCAACTCCTCCGCCAGTCTTTCGCGCGGAATCCTCCGCCGCCCGCCATCTCTCCGCCAATAACCGCTCCCCCTCCTCATTCATTTCCGCTTCTCCCCGCTTGAATCACACTGGCGCCATCCGCTATACGCTGATGGAATAAATGAGTAAGCCATGGAGGGCCGGGGCCAAGCACACGAATCTGGCGGTACCTATAAACTTCTCCATGGCTGGAATCGCAAAATCGAGACCTAATTTCTCCTACTATCGGATACCTAGTGACGACCTGAGCACTAGGTTCTATCCCGTGAATGCTGCATGCCTTCTGAACGAGGCCTGAAACTGACGTCGAGTGAGACGAAAACGTAAAGCTCGGGTGTGAAAAAACGGCGCATTCGAAGTCAGAGAATGCGAGCTTTTCGAAGTTATTTCCAGGATTGAAACGCGACGCGACCTAAAAGCGTCGAGTCACTGCGGCCAATGCGGTACAGTCGCACTACATAGTTTGCTAACAGAGTCAAAATCGTTTTCTTCACTGTGAAGTTCGCAGCTTGAGAAATTTGATGCCCTCAAACTTCATGAGGAATATATCGGCTTCCCAAAACATGTCTGAATACAAACGTTGACTCCACACTACAAGCACACGAATTAGGTCGTATCCCTGCCTAGTGTCAAGAAGTTGGTGTCAAGAAGTTTGCGCATGCGATTGGTTAAAAAAAACAATTGACCAATCGCATTGGCCGGAAATTTGTTCTGGACCAATAGGGTGCGAGCACTTCTTGACACTAACTTCTTGACACTAGGCAGGGATACGACCTTACATGAATCACAACATAACCCAACAAGAACAATCAGGGGTAGGAAAACTGGCAAGTCAGCTGGTGTTCCATGATGCCTTGCCAGCATTCCTGCCCCTGATGCTTTGGCATATTTTAGCTGGCCAGTGAGAGTCTAACCAAAGTTACCGTATCCAGACACACGCACCAATGAAAAGCCCTGAAGCCCATGACACCCTGCAATGCCAGAGCCATCCTCAAGGCAATGAATGATCCCTCAAGCAGCGGCAATAAAAGCCTGCATCAGGACGAGTTCAAGCAGCACCAGCAGCACCACCACCACGGCAGTGGCGCATCAAGCAGCAGCGTGGCAGTGAGGTCCTAAACAGCAGCGGCGGGCATCTTGGCGCCGATGAGCTGCCCGCCCCACGTCACACCTGCTGCGCTGCTGCCCGCTAGCACAGCATACCCGCTTACCGCAGGCGGCTGCTGCGCTCCCCCCTGCTGCTGCTGCCCCCCCTGCTTCTGTCCCCCCTGCCTGGCAGCGCGGCCGAATGCGCGCATCAGCAGCTCCCGCCCCATGCGCCTCCCGCCCTGCCCGTTCCGCGCACCCCCCGCGCTGCCTCCGCCGTTGCGCCCGCCGCCGCTTCTGGTGGGCGGAGGCGAGGCGGTGGGGAGCACGGCGAGCAGCGCGTCGAGGGTGGCGGCGTCCGCGTTCTCGAGGAAAGCGTCGAGGCGCGCCTCCGCGTGCAGCAGCCACCACCCCGCGCGCTGCTGCCAGTCCGCCGCGGCGAGCGGCAGCGCGAGCACGTTCGTCGCGACGGAGTCGCACACGGCGCCCTTCACGATCGCCAGCGAGTCGGGCGGACCGCCCGCCGCGTCCACCAGCAGCGCCTCGACGAGCAGGTTGTAGTTTCCGGTCGAGTTCCTGGAATGGGGGGCAGGGGACGGGACGAGGGGAGAAGCAATGAGCTCGACGAATTAGAAGCTGAGAAGACGCACAGTATACGGAGAAGACTCTGTGTAGACCGTGAACCCAAAGCGAGAGGATGCGTGCGGAAGCGGATGGTAGAAGTAACTCCGACTAGCGACTTGAAACGGAAAAGGGAAGGCACACTACTGAATTAGGGTTTTCTCGCGATGCTAGGCGACGCAAAAAAGGCAGCGTTGCCTACTTGAAGATGGCGAGGTGGAAGCTGCCAACACCGGCCGTCTGATCCGTCGTGCAGTTGGCGAGCTGCGCGCCAACACCGGCCGTCAGATTCCCGACGGCCGTCAGGTTCAGCGGAGGACCCCGCGGCCCGCCAGGCCCGCCAGGCCCGCCGGGGCCGTCGCGACCGCCGGGACCGCCGGGTCCGCCAGAACCGGCGCCAGGGCCTCCGCGCTGACCGCCGGGAGGACCTCCGCCAGGCGGACCACGCTGCGCCAAGGCGGACGTCGACACGAGGAGGAGCACGCACGCTAGGACTAACGCTCTGACTGCCGCCATGGCTGGATCTGTATCGAGCTGTGATCTACGAAGTGAAAGTTTTCCTGGTGTATGGGTCGCACTGACTAGGGAGCTTGACTGAAGAAAGTGGAGCGTGAAATGGAAGCTGTTGGTGGGTGAAATGGTAGGAGAGTCAATGGCTACTTATAGGGTAGTCAAAACCAACAGTCTGGTTTTGGGAGGTTGACGCGAGTCAAAGCAGCTGGGTTTGAGGCTGAGGCTTGTGTGTGAAAATTGCCAAGCGATATGTGAGGTTCGGAAATATCCAGACCAGCTGTGGAGGCTCGAGGTGTACACACGATGCCCAACCAGTGCACGCGAATTTGCCTTGCGCAGGATGGAAACCCTGCACCCGTGTATTTTGTGCCAGGCAGTTGCACCCCATTTACAAGCACCCCAAACTGAAGAGACCGGGGTCAATTTGTCAACGCTTAGTTACAAATCTCCATCTGCCCTTTTATAAGCCCTTTTTTGCTAAGTGCGAATTGACGAAATCCAGACGAAATCCAAAATCACTTAAACGCCCAAAGAGAGAGGCAAGGTCGGGTGGCTCAACCGGGCATCGTGTGTACACCAACCGAGAGTTGAAAATGTGCGACGGGATTCAAACGCGTGAGTCAGCGCGATCTGAAGGCAAATCGCACAGAGAAAAGCGCGTCAATTCAGCGCGAAAGGGCAGCTGCAACAACTTTCCTACACATTGGCAGGTGCAGTGCAGAATACAGAGCTTATAGTAACATTCGTTATGTAATTATAGTTTTTTTCTTTCTTGAAATGATTGGTGAGAATGTTCCTCGTGCGGTTGAATCTGCATCTAGAGGATTTGTTGAACACCTGCAATGCTTCAAAATCAGCTTATAACAAGGGCCGTTTCCCTTGCTCTGTTCTGTACCTGCCCAGCGTACTAGTGCTTCACGTCTAATCCACACAATACCACCTGTTATCGTTGACTGACCGCTTGTGACCTGCATATCACCTAGTGTTTGTAAAGTTTATGAGAGGAACAAAAGCAGACATGAGACCAATAATCCTCTAGCTTAATCAGCTGCCACCCTGTTGGAGCGAAGTTGATAAATGGAAGATGGGGAGGCAGCAAGGCCTTAGTGCACGCCCAGTTTTAGGAGGGGAGAGGTGGGGGGGTTGGGGGGGATGGGGAGGGGGGGGAAGGATGGGGGTGAGGAGCGTGGGTGAAGAGGGAATGGGAGCATGGTAAGGGGCAATGACAGAATGCAGAATGGAAGGGGAAAATGAAAACCAGCCAAGAAGGGAAACGGCGAGGGTTTGTGGCGGTGGTATGTGATATGAAGTAACCTGTAACATATGGTACACACACCAGTGGCTGAACGATTGCCATCTGAGTCCTCTCAGTCACCCGCACAGCAGTGGCTCTGCTTCTGCCATCTGAGTCCACTCTGTGCTCTTCATTGCCATGACCCTACCCATTCGCATGCCCATGCCCATGCCCATGCCCATGCCCCAACCTCCCACATGCCTATCCAACCCCATCGAATCAGGATCACCATTCCCCAACCTCACCTATTCTGTCTTGCAAAGGGAAACGTAAGGGTAGAGGTCATGTGTGCATGTACCAAATCAAGAGTGAGGCATGCACACAGCACGGAGATATTAAATTATGTTCTGATGTAAGTCAACTCGGGAGCAATTGGTTGCAGTTACTACTTATTCGCCATCTGCAGCATCGTGTTTCTCTCACCGGTATACTGGTGCACCGCCCTAGACATGAGCACACAGCGATTGAGGCGCTTCGAGCAGCAGGAAGATCCCCCCACATCCGGTACTCCGGTGCTCCGCACCTCTCCCGACATGTACTCCGGTGCTCTGCCCTAGCGGGAAAGATTCCTCCCCTCCACCTCACCCCTCCCCCACCCCCACCCCCTCTCTTCTCCCCCCCCCTTTCCCCACTCCCCCATCCCTCTTTCTCCCTGCTCTCACCATGACACGAAGCATGGCTGGGTAAGGAGTTGCATAGTGCCGTATGTGGACGAGAGGAAGCCCACCTGTAAAGGGGATGCTCTTAACGCAGACAGACGGTTCAGAGGCAGCACGCCAGGGTATTTGGGGGGAAAGGGAACAGGGGGGAGCGGCGCAGGTTGAGGGGCAGGGGGACGGGGTAAGGGGAAAGGGTCAGGGTAAGAAGCAAGGGAGGGGCAGGGGAAAGGAGCAGCGGGAGGGGCGCATGTTGAGGCGCAGGGAGGCGGGGGAAGGGCAAAAGGGCAAAGGAAAGGTGCAATGGGAAGGGGCAAACGGTGGGTAAGGGGGGGGACAGGGGGACGGGGAAATGAGAAGTGGCATGTGGGAGGGACAGAAGGGAGAGGCAGAGTGGGAGGGGCAAAGGGAAGGGGCAAAAGGTAGGGGCAAAAGGGAGGGGTAAAGCGGAGGGGCAAAGGGGGGCAGGGGAAGAGCAAAGGTAAAGAAACGGGGGAAAAGGGGGGTGGAGGGGCAGAGGAAAGGGACAAGGTGCGGGGCCAAGGGGAGGGGAAAGGGGAAGCTGACATGAGGAAAGGACAGGAAAAGGGCCAGGGGAGGAGAAAAGGCAGGAGGTAGGGGCAGGGAGTGGGAAGGGGCAGTGGGGAGGAGCAGGGATGGGGAAGGGGCAGAGGGAGGGGCGGGTCGGAGGGGCAGTAGATGCAAAAGAAGCACTAACATTGGGATGCACGCCCACAGCAGCAACGACAAACGCCACGTGGCATGCCCTTATCTGCGCCTGCAGCTGGCGATGTCTTCTCCCTTATCCGCACAATGCTTCTCCTTCCCCTCACAATCCTGCCCGTCCCCGTACTCGATATTGCCTGTCTTGTTATAAGCTCCGTTTTCCAAAAGGTCGTCCGTCTCTCTTCTCGTCATTCCACTGATGCGCATCCGCGATACTGCTTCGTCGCCAATACACGTCTCCCCTCCCCCCAACTCCTCCATTCTTCCCCGCGGCACCCTCCGCCGCCTGCCATCTCTCCGCCAATAACCGCTCCCCCTCCTCATTCGCTTCCGCTTCCACCATCCGCGCCATTCGCGCTCCCCGCTGAATCGCACTGGTGCCATGGGCTGCGTCATCTACTCGACTCTACATCGCAACTCTGCAGGTGTTCGCTGGGAAACAGCCGGCGGTAAGCTTGGCGATATCGCATCCCTGCAGTTTGCTTGCGGTGTTTTTTTCTAATTGCCCTCTGTTTCCGAGCTGCCTGTGATCTCCCGCAGTTACCCTATTTTCGATTTGTGCAGTCACGGAGCAGTTAGCGGGCAATTGGTGCAAAACTCATCCCGTTGGGTCGATGAACACCGCTCGGTGAAATTCGGTGCGGTGGTGTATAGAACTCCGCGCTGAACTAATATTGTAAAAAAAATGGTGAAGACTGAATATGAACACGTCAATGTATGCGAATCGCTTGTAATTTTGCATAATCACATTGTCTCATTCCCATGAAGAAATGTAGACGCGTACGCCTACGCTTACCAGAACACTTACCGTTGGCGAATGACCGTAGCAGTAACCAGGTAAATAAGCCATTCGACGGCTCATTTTCAGCGCGCGAAAAATCCAGCTGGACCAGAATGTTGACGGAGTCGCACACCTTGTTACGTGCCAATACGGCACGTAACTTATTGCTTTGTCGCCGTGGCAGTTAGGGGCGAAGGGTGTGGAACGCGGTTGAGAACGTTTTTGCGCACTTTTTATCGGTGCCTGCATCATGCGGCCGTTCCCCTCCAACCCCTCCATTTCCCTCCTCACTCGAAGTGCACATTATTATCGTAGAGGTGGTAAATAAGTAGCCCGCCATGGCGCCTCCCTGGAACCCGCTAACTCGCTGGAACCGCCCGTTTTACCCGAGTTCGGCGGTTTTTTTTTTTTAAGGAAACGACACCTCGCCATCCATTCTTTGCCTCGTACCGCATGCCAGACGGGTGCTCGTCCAGCTTAGGGTAGATCGTAGGGCGCGACCCGAGCTCAATTTTTTGGATGTACTAATTTTAGGGACGCCATAGCCCGAAACGCGACTTCGACGACACACCAGTGCATGCGCGGCGTGCCGACAAGGCGTACAATTTCACACTTGCGTCCCGCTGTTGCAGATCCACGGGCCGCGAGGGTTTCGCCGTTTTGGTTTCTACATTAGTTTTAGGGTCGGCCCGACAGAAATAGTGACTTCGTCGCCGTACCATCGGATGCGCCGCGTGCCGACGCGTGGTATATTGCGCGAAAGTGCCGCGGCTTGAGGGACTAGTGGGGTCAGTACTGTTTTTAGTGTTTTTTTGGCTTTTTTTTTGCCATGTTCGTTTTAGAGCCACAGATTTGCCCCCTCTTGCCACTGAGGGCCATGACCGTTTGTGCTCTGTGGTCTTTGCATGCAGGTCCAGGGGATGCTGTTGAAGACATTGCATATATGTTAGACCTTGCTTGTTATTCTTCACTATTTTAGTTCTTCTCCAAGCTTGCACCACAGGGTGCAATAGATCATTGTATCCCTATAATTGATAATGGAGTTTACATGTGCCTGTGGATTCACCTGCACTACTGGACAGGGCTTGATTAATCACAAACTATTTTGTAGAAAGCGCCCAACTGCGTCAGAGAGTGCAAATGTACGGATTCTAGAGGGTTTGAAGCGCAAACGAGCTAATGACGTGAACCGGCTGCTGCGTGCACGAGTTGCTCCGCGTGCCGCAGCAAGACCGCCTTTGACCACTAGCGGAGCACCATCTGCACAAACCAGTGTGAACCCTCCCCCGTTTGACTTTCCGACGTCGGATGACAGCGACGGCGACGGTGATGACATAGAATTCTCAACAACGGATGCAACGGCAGATCTTAGTCCACAGAAGCTCCCATTTGACACAGACATGGCTTTGGCGAAGGCGATTCGGGGTTTTAATGGAGGCATGGGGATGTCGGCAACTGACATTAATACTCTACTGAGCGTTTTGCACGAGGCCGGTTACATGAAGCCATCATACAAGAACAGTGCTGGCTTGGTGAAGTACGAAAAGTCTTTACTGGCGGAGGCTACGGGCACGGTGGAATGGAGAGCTGTCGAGGTGGAGTTGAGCAACGGCATGAAAGTTACTGTGCACGTAACCTCCATAGTCGAAGCATTGGTGGCGATGTATTCGGACAACGCGAACAGAGACGGCTTTGTGGTGAAACCGGCAGCAGTCTACACGTCCGACAAGAAGCAGCGGATATACGCGGGGCCCGAGACGGGAGATGGATGGATTAAGATGCAAGAAGAATGCCCGAGGGGTGGTGTAATTGCAGCGTGCATCCTGTACAGCGATGGGACAAACTTGAGCAACGATGGGCGTGTTACGGGACATCCGGTATATTTCACACTTGGAAACGTCACGCTCAAGAATCGTTGGCAACCACACGGGCATCGGATGGTTGCTATGCTTCCGCCACTTCCGAACGTGGACTCGAGGACGGACGAGGGGAAGGCGCTTCATCGGGAGGTATTCCAACTGGCTTTGGATGTGGTTCTTAAAGAGCTCAAAGAGGCATCTTACGAGTGAGTGTCTATTGAGTGTGCGGGTGAGTGCTTTTCATTCTACTGGGTGTGGGTGTGTGTGTTGCAAGTATGCTTTATCGCTACGATGAGATTTTTCTTGCTCACCTCATGTGCAAATCCACTTCCCCTCCCCTTATAATTGTACCTTTCCTATGTTCATCACCCTTTTCTACCTACATAGTGGCATTGTAATAGAAGACCCTTTTGGGCAGACGCAAGTGGTATTTCCCGCTGTCTACGCATATGTGGCTGATCACCCGGAAGCGTGCAAGCTGGCGGGGACGTTTGCAAGTCACAAGGCGATGTTCCCGTGCCACAGGTGTCTCGTGAAACGTGAAGACATAAGCAACATGGAGGCGGTGGTCGAATATCGCACGGAAGTCGATCAGGGCGATAAAGTTGAGGCGTTGTTGGCGTTGCCGAGTGGGCCCGAGCGGAACAAGGCATCAAAATCAATCAGCACCCATCCCATCAAGGTACGTATGGTTTGCGAGTGCGTCCATACGTTTTGCGTGCGTATTTGTGTGTGTACGCGCGTCTGTTCGTGCCTCTTTAGTTCGTGCGTCGTTATTCTAAGAATCTGCGTGCATGCGTTTCTCTGTCTTGGTTGTGTGGGTTAAATTAAGTGTGTGCTAACAGTTTTTCACTTACTCGCCCCCGCGCAGGTAGCCTTGTGGGGCTTCAGAGGCGGACGTACCCCTGTCGGCAATCCATACCGAGCCTTACTTGTCGAGGTGATGCACGCGATGGACCTTGGTGTCTTCTTGCACATCGTTTCCTGCATTCGAGCGTATTACGCACGAGATCGCGACTTTCTGCGTTCCCTCGACACCGAGTTGCAGCGCATTGCGACCGACACCCGAATCTCGGGTTTCCGTATCCCATCTTCCGAGAAGGGTGGTTACTTTGCGGGTGCTGCACGGTTTCAGGCGTTTGAGCATCGCGCAGTGATGCAAGTGATCACGATCGTGCTTGCAAATTGCAGCGTGCCAAACTCGGTGGTTGGTGCGGTGGCAGCATTCGTGGATTGCTACATGCTCGCAGCCCGGCGTAGGTATCATACCTCGAAGACGCTTCAAGAGCTTGATGAGGCCATCAAGAGGTAAGCATCTTTCTCAACTGTGCATGGTTGCTTGTGTTGTTCTCTTTCTTGTTCGATGTCTCTCATACCTTGGATTCCATGCTTGCCAATGTGTTGCGACGTCTTGTGTTACTAATTTTTTCGCGCCCATTGAGTTTTGTCTCTTCAATGTTCTTCATGTGTGCCATACCCACCAACAGGTTGATTCTGCTCTTGAAGGAAGTCTTTGCAGGCCTTCAGAAGTCTGAGTTCGACATCACCAAACTGCATTCATTGGCACACGTGGTGGAGGACATCATTCGATCGGGGGTGCCGATGCATTACAGCGCCAACATGTACGAGTATCTCCATCAACCTCTCGTGAAGCGAGCGTACCGTGCAAGCAACAAGAGGGATCCTATCCCTCAAATTGTGAAGCACGATGTGCGAATGCACATGCTACGCGTGCTCCAAGCATCGGAAACACCAAGCGAGGATGGACCAAAGCGAATGGTTGCACTACAGGAGGTACGTGCGTATGTGTGTGTATGTGTGTATGTGTGAGAGAGCGTTAGAGAGAGAGTGTGTGTGTGCACGTATTTGTATGTATGTGCGCGTGTGTGTGGGCGTCTGTGCGTGTGTGCGAGTGTGTGTGTGTGCGCGCGTGTATGCATGTGTGTGTGTGTGTGAGTGTATGTGTGTGTGTGCGTGCGTGCGTGTGTGTGTGTAGGTGTGTGTGTGCGCGTACGCGTCCGTGTGCATGAGTGTGTGTGGGGGTATGTGTGTGCGTATGTATGCGTATGTATGCGTATGTGTGCGTGTGTGTGCGTGTGTGTGTGTGCGCGTGCGCGTGCGAGCGTGGGTGTGTGTGTGCGTGTTGTGTGTGCGCATACGCGTGCGTGTGTGTGAGTGAGTGTGAGGGTGTGTGTGTGCGTATGTATGCGTGTGTGTGTGAGTGTATGTGTGCGCGTGCGTGTGTGTGATTGTGTGCGAGTGTGTGTGTGTGTGTGTGTCTGTGTGCGTATGTATGCGTGTGTGTGCCTGTGTGTGTTTGTGCGCTTGCGCGTGCGAGCGTGGGTGCGTGTGTGTGTGTGTGCGTGCGTGTGCGTGTGTGTGTGTGTAAATGTCTGTGTGCGCGTGTGCGTGCGTGCGTGTGAGTGTGTGCGAGGGTGTGTGTATGCGTGTGTGTGTGTGTGCGTGTGTGTGTGTGTGCGCATGCGGTGTGTGTGTGAGTATGTGTGTGTGTGTGTGTCTGTGTGTGAGGGTTTGTGCATGCGTGAGCATGTGTGTGTAACTTGGATTATGTCTTGTGAGCATGGAGCTTCAAGTCTTGTTGAAACGTATTTGGGTGCCTGTATTCGACATCGCCTAAACAACGAGCCTTTTTTTTGCACCCATGCCTGAATGGATATGCATTTTGCAGGCTATGGAGAGCGGTAGCAACACGCTTGCAGCCACCAGCTTCAGTGTTAGCTGGAAAGAAAGCATTGAGGATGGGTGTGACAAGTGGAAAGCACATGCGCTGGCCGCGCCGGGTGACATGACCAAGCTCGCGGGGCTGTTGGAAGGCAAGACCGAGGAAGGCGAGGTACTAAATGGTACCATACGTGTGAAGAACGGCATGGCTATTCCAGGCGACGAGGATTTCACCAAGTACTCCAGTCAGACACATTATGTGCGAGCGTGCACGTCTTTTGGCGACAAACCATGGTTCAACGATGTAGCAGTGCTTGGTGAAGAGGAGGTTGAGGCTGCAGGAGGCCAAACGACAAGGCGGAAGGTGATATGGTATGCAAGACTCCTGCTGTTGTTTACCATCGACGTGTACACGCCAGAGACTAAGGCGTTTTTCAAGCGCGCGTACGCATTTGTCCGCTATTTCAGAGCCACTGGTGCGGTGCACGCATCGAAATGGCCGGTGTATGCTTGGGAGGCAGGTGACAACGAGTACCAATTGCTTGAGCTTGATAACATTCTGCGCGTAGCTCATATGGTTTCGGTCAGTGAGGGGCTCTTTGTTATGAACAAGTTCAAACTTTATTAAAAAACGATGGACATAACACAATCAGTTCTGTACTCCGAATACTGTAAGCATCGCTTGTTGAAACGAGTCCGCTATATCTCCCCTATTATCCCTTGTTCCGATTGGAAGTGTAACATTCACCCGTGCGTTGTTGGCGATGTTGTGCCACGCTAGTAATCATTACACAGTTGCTTGCTGGCATGCTGCCGCGCAACTGGGTAACCTTTCCTGCCTCGTTGGCTAGCGCGCAGTTGTCTGCCTGCTGTGCTGTGTCCACCATGCCATTGTTAAGGTTTGTCTGGCTCGATGCAAAGTAGAAATGGGTCCTTCGTAACAGCTTCGCAGGACGTCACTTACAGCTGTCAGCCTTCCAGTGACTTCGACAATGTTGCCAGTTTTGCAGGCAACAAGCCTCTCATTCGTTGGACTTCCATGCCTAGCGACCACGCCTTGAAAGATACATGTCACTAAACTTTTTGCTCTGTCATTGTTCGCTGAATAGTTCGTTGTTTAGCGGCGCAGTTGTCGCGTTGTCTGCCACGTATGTGTCGTGAGACCATACATTGCCAGATACAGCACCAATGTGTGGAGCGTTTTGGCGTATTTCAAGGACAATCTCGTTTCGAAAAGTGAGCCAAAACACCTTTTCATTATTTGAATTCGCATGTTTTGTGTAATGCTGTTCGGTACTTACTAAACGACTCGCAACTAAGTGCGATGTATCATCTATCGCACTAGCGTTTAACGTTCTGGTCCATTCGAGCAGGGTCGTTGATTAAAGTCCGAGGTGAAGGGTTTGGTCCACTGTTCTCGCAAAGTGTGGTATCGGTGTAATAATTTGCTTGTGAAGTAGCTCGGGGTGAACCTTCACGCTGTCAACAATACCCATCGCAACATGCCTCTTAGTCATCGATACCAACGACCTGTGCTACTCATCTCGTACCCTACCAGAGCAGCTTCTCTTCGTTTCCAACCAGCCGAGCTTCCTCTCGTTCTCAAAGTTCCGCCTAGTCCCACTATTTTTTGCCTCGTTTTCATCTACGTGCCCTATGCCTGTTAGTGGGCACTTAAGGAAACATGGCGGTAGGCGTGCCCCCAGAAATAATGGAGTTGCAGCGTAAGAGATCCCGAACCTCTAACAGGCGTCTCGAAGGCTACGAGCTTGGTAGCCCAACCACAGGAGCTCGTAAAATTTCTACTCCAGCCCAGCAGGTGGGTACCCCGAGCGCTCAGCCTGCGGAACCCCAGCCTCTGCAAGACCTTGAGGCACTTGAGGCCGAGCACACAGCAGACAATGGAGTTGCCTCTCCCAACCACGCTTCGAACGCTACCGCACACGTGGCGCAACCTGGTGCTACGGCAAATGTCATCGCATCCGCTAGAACTGGCGGTACGTTTTACTGATCACTATTCTGTTTCTGTCAGCGTTTTCTCCATTGTTTCATTTGGCCTTATTATAAATATTTAAGTGTCATGACGTTTTGCTCTAATGAAACCTCCCTTGTGTTTTCAGGTGTGCACTCGTCAGATCGTGATGTTCATCACCCCGAGGCCAACTCGTACAACCACATCGACGCTGCCATACGCGGTGAGCTGAAAGTGTGAAAGAAAGCAGTAGAGGTAGGCGCCATAGCTAGGAAAGCCCTAGCTAGGCAAGAAACAGTTTAGGCAAAAGAGGAGTTCACTAGCAAGAATGAGGATACAAATAGCAAACCCTAGATGGGTTGTACTCGCTATAGAGTGTCAAAAGTATGAAACAGGAATGGAGAAAGAGAGAGTTCACTAGCAAGCAGTTGGATACAAATAGCAAACCCTAACTGGGTTGTACTCGCTATGGAGCACCCCACAGCAGGCTAGACAAGATAACATTCTGACACACCCCCATAGCCAAAGTGGGGTGTAATCAGCACATTAAGCAAAGCAGAACAAGCTCAGGGTGGATCACAAGGTCACCACACATTCTGAGCACAATTACAAGAAGCAACAGTTTAAAGTTCACAATTATGAGCAAAGCTAGTGGTAGTCACAGCTGGCATGTGAGGAGGAGGCAGGACCGTGAGGGGAGAGAAGATGGGAGACGTCGTCTGAAGCTGCAGTCACACGGGCAACAGGAGCGGCTGACACTGTGGCGGCTGACTCAGATAACTGGTGCAGTACAGGCTCTCAGTGCCTGTATTCCAGGGTGCTTGCCTCGGTAGCGCAGAGAGCGTGCTGCACCAGTCGCCTGTGGGTCCCCATGTCAAAAGTATGAAACAGGAATGGAGAAAGAGAGAGTTCACTAGCAAGCAGTTGGATACAAATAGCAAACCCTAACTGGGTTGTACTCGCTATGGAGCACCCCACTGCAGGCTAGACAAGATAACATTCTGACTTAGAGCACCCCACTACAGGCTAGAGAATAACATTCTGACACACCCCCATAGCCAAAGTGGGGTGTAATCAGTACAATGAGCAAGCAGGTATAGAGCAGGAGTTCACAAAGGTAAGCAAAGCTAGAGCTAATCACAGCGGGCAAGTGAGGAGGAGGAGGAGCTGTGGAGGTAGAGAAGATGGGAGGCAACGACTGAAGCTGCAGAGGCACGGGCACAGGAGCGGCTGACTCAGAGGCTACCGAAGCAAGGGCGACGGACTACTGGAGTAACTGGCTCGGCGGCTATAGAAGAGCGGCAGGAGCAACGGACCCACTGGCGACTGGTGCAGCAGGCTTACTGGCTACCGAAGCAAGGGTGACGGACTACAGGCGCTGCAGGCGACACGACAGGTACCTCCACACAACCTCCTCCAACTGCCCCACACCCTCGATGTTGGAATCACTGAACAGGAATGAATGAACTAGCAGTGAAATGAGTACAAGTACCTAACCCTAGAATTGTGTACCCCCTATAGGCTAACCCACTGTAGCCTAAACTAACACAACATATATAATGTTTGACACTCGACACACACCCACTGCTCAAACCCTAGCTCCACCCCCACGCACCCCCCTAAAACCCTAAACCCCAGTCTCCCACTCATCCACCCCCCTCAGCGACAGCTGCAGCAGTTGGAGACAAAGGAGGAGGAGGAGAAGGGCACGGCACGCACAATGGACACCCCCACAACCACCACCCCCACACCCTCCACCCCCAAAACCCTAAAACGGGTGGGACAGGGGCAGGAGCGCGGGGGACGGCGAGGGGAGGGACGGCGCACGACCCCTAGGGCGCCAAAACGGACGGGCGGGGCGGAAGGGTGGCGCGCGCGGCTCCCCAGGGCACCGCGTCGAACGGGCAGGGGGCGGGCGCGGCTCCCCAGGGCGCCGCGACGGACAGACAGGGGGCGCACGCGGCTCCCCAGGGCGTCGCGACGAGCAGGGCGGGGTCGCGCGTGCGCCCCAGAGCGCCGCGACGAGCTGGGTGAGAGGCCGCGCGTGCTCCCCAGGGCGCCGCGATGGACGGGCGGGGCGCGCGCAGGCTCCCCAGGGCACGAAACCGCCGCGCGCCGCCGCGCGCCCCGAGCGCACGGCGGGATGATTTTTTTTTTTTTTTTTTTTTTTTTTTTTTTTTTGCAACAAAAGAGGATGTTCACTATAGAGCAAGCAGTACAAATAGGCAAGAATGAAGAAAGGTGCACCACCAAACAAAAAGTTACATGACTACAGTAGTCTACACTACAGGCAGTTACAAAACAATATATAGAATCATATATTATTATGACACGCCCCCATAAGTGCCTGTAGGGAAGAATGTGCAGTCAACGCCCCCATAATGGGGTACACCAGACAGGCCACAGCGGAAATCATAGCAACAGGCAAGTGCAGTGGCAACCGGTGCAGTGATGGCAGATCCAACTGTACCAACCCCTTTACCAAAGTAGAAATAGTAGCAGGTGTTGGGGCGGCAGGTCGCATGAGGAGCAGGCTCTGTGGCTGCAACATGCAGCAGGACAGCAGCGGCTCGACGGCAGCACCTGCAGGCCCCAGCAGTAGGTAGCAGAAGCAAAGACAGCAAAAGGCAGGTGGTAGCAGGAGCGGCAGCTGGAGGTGCCACGGCAGCAGCGGGCGACAGCAGCAGATGACCGGCTGACTTCCGTCGCCCCCTCACTCCCCCCCCCACAGTGGCACGTGCGGCAGTGAGAGAGAGAGGAGGGGCGGCAGCTTCTTGCTCACACCCGCCACCCCAAAAACCTCCCCCCCACACTGCTGCACGTGAAGCAGGGAGAGAGAAGGGAGAGGAGGGTGTGGCGCAGCAGCGAACAGAGTGGCGTCAACCAACCTCGCGCCTCCCCCTCCCCCCCGCCCCACACCTTCGTCCACAGCGGAAGACACGGCAGCGGGCGTGGTTAGCGCTGGCGAGATCGCGGGTAGGGCGGGGGAGTAACGGGGGGGTGCAACAGGTGCCACGACGAGCGCCTTAGTACAGCTCGCCGTCGCTTGCGTGGCAGCTGCAGTGGTAGCAGCCGCATGTTCGACGGGAGGGCGGGGCAGGGGGCGCGTTTGGCGACTGAAGCAGCTCGGCCGCCACACCCGCCATCTCCCCCCAAAGCGACCGTCGATGCAGACGATCGGGGCCGCGACAGGGCGTGACGAGGTTGCAGGAGGGCGCGACGGGCAGGCGACGGGGCCGCCGACTGGGGCCGCGACAAACATCACTAAGCTCGCCACGCTCGACTTCGCAACCTTCACGACGAGCGGCTGAACGGGCACAGCTGGGGCCGCGACGAGCGCCATGGCAGGAGAGATATGCGGTGGGCCCATGGAAAAAAACAAATCAGGTCCTAGGATTGGAACCACTCTGATAACATGTGAAAGAAAGCAGTAGAGGTAGGCGCCATAGCTAGGAAAGCCCTAGCTAGGCAAGAAACAGTTTAGGCAAAAGAGGAGTTCACTAGCAAGAATGAGGATACAAATTGTCAGACATTATATATATTGTTGTAGTTGTTTAGGCTACAGTGGGTTAGCCTATAGGGGGTACACACTTCTAGGTTTCCATATTTGTACTCATTTCATTCTTAGTCATTCATTCCTTGTTCAACATGGTATA